GGAACTCCTACATCAGTCAGCTCACAGAAGTGAAATTCACTGGTGCTGTGAAGAAGATTAATGCCAAGACAGGATGTGAAGGGGACAGAGGAGCATAAGAATGGAACTTGACTGTCTCAAAAGAACTGGAAAGGAATATTTGGCTCAATCCAGACAGGTCTTATGATCTGAATTTAGGAACAAGGTAGGTCTGAGTACCGTTGCCTGTATAACAGGAAGCACAAGACAGTTGCTGTATTCAGTGGGGCTCTTCTATCTAGGGGAAAGGCTAGGAAAGAAGTGGCAACTGAAAGCTTGGATCCTACCAGAGTATTCCAGGAGGATTTGAAACAGAGCTGATCTAGGCTTGCCAGCAGCAGGAGTTGAGGACACCCAGACTAAGAAGCCACAAAAAAAGGTATGCTACCAAATCTTAATTTGACCCCATTGCCTGGAAATAGGAAACCTTCTAATATCCCAAACTCCTGAAAAGCATTGGGTGTACGGGGAATCAACATGGCAGGGCAGCTGGCGTGGTCCAAACAGCCTATGACGGCACTGCCAGTCTAGCTTGCTAAAGTGGTGTCCTTCAGAGCCCCTTTTGGCTGTGGGTCCTAATTTCTTCCTGGGCAAATTTTGACAGCAGCTGAGTCTAATTTCTACATTAGATCAACAGTGCTGGAAATTCAGCATACAGAAGCCTTACAACCACTAGAGCAGGGTACAGAAAGCAGATCTTGTAAACTGTCTGGTCATACAGGCATAAACCCCTTACTTTTTGTGTGCTATATCTCCTTGCTAATATCATCTAACCTACTGAAGAGGGTACTGGGGACACTCTTACACCCCTCCAGCTTTGGTCTGACTACAGTTTGTAGTTCATTTAAGCTTTGTCCAAGGCAAATACAATTAGGCTCAGCAGATGTAAAAGACTTGGCAAGAAATATCATTTTAGTAAATTCTGTTAACATATCCCTAATAAAACAGGAATAACAATAAAGGTCACTGGCACTGCCATCCAGATGCATATTAGGACATAGCTGTGCAGAACAGCTGATCAATAAGAACTCTGGCTGTTTGTCCATAAACCAACACCACCATCGTCTGTAGCAGTGGCAGAACCCGTGTCCACCAGCTATAAATCTAACAATTTTACCAAGTAAAAGCTCTTAGAAATGAAATACACTGCAAATCCTCTGCTATGTCATTCCTAAAAAAAATCCTAATAATTTACTGCAGATTGAGTGCCTCCTTTACACAGATGCCTCACAATCTAGTAGCTCTCAAAAGTTGAAGGACATAATAAAAACATGGTATCCACAACCCTTCAGACAGACAAGTTATACTGATTGCATGAACAGAAATAAACTTAAAGGCAACAGGAAAAGAAAACAGGAAACAAAGTCCTGCTTGCTGCTCTTTTATTCACCAGTAACCAGGAAAAGAAGAGGTAAAGACTCTGTGTGTGCAAATGTGTGTATATGCTGGGGATAAGAGGTAGAATAGAGGGAAGACAAAAGCAAAAAATCCAATTTTCTGGATAAGCAAACCAAAGAAAGCAGTGTAGTATATTATTAATTTTCTTTCTACCTTTTACATAATCAATGGTCACTGCTTTCTGATCCCATGCTGCCACGTAATGCTTATGCTGAAATAAGATGATTTTGTCAGGTACAACTTATGATTTTAAGTATGGTAATAGCAATTTTTCTTTCTGTGAACATGTGGCTTTTTTTGGGAAGTCCCCAAAAAACCATCTCAGTAACCAATACATCTTTTATCTTCTGCTGTAATTACTCTCTGCATACAACTAGGAGATAAAGGGCAATGAACAAGAACACAAACAATGAACATTTCCGTACCTGTAAGGTGAAAGAATATTCAGAGGTGGTGGTTTGTCACTCTGATTATAAATATCAGCCACTGGGTTAGGAATACTGTTCTTTGAAACTACCTGCTGATCTTGAATTGTTGAGCTCTTGAATGCTTTTTTCATGTTGATATCCTGCAATGATACTGTTGGAAACAAAAATACATTTATCACAGGTCTATAACTAACTAAGTGGATAAACAAAGTCCATTTTACACTAGCTATTTAAAATATTTTCAGCAAGATATAGAGGAAAAACAGAAAGATTTTTCTTTAGTGAATACCTGTTCTAAGCACAAAGGCATATAAAAATTACCATAATAAACCAGATTTTAAGTCCTCCTTGGTCCAGAACCTCACTTAAAACAATGAGACCGTGGACGGTGTCTTGGAAGATGATGCAAGAATCCTGTCACATGCAGATGTCCAATTATCTCCCCTTTTTGACGTTTAACCTGGACTTCTAATAGCAGAAAGACTGTCCTTAAGCCTGAACACAAGCTCTGGTATTCCTCTGGCACAACATGGTTTACAATTACACATGCTATTCATACCCATTCAACTCCATTCTACATTTAATTCACTTATGGCCTCCACAACCTCCTGTGAGAGCACGTTCTACATTTTTTACCATCTTTCAACTCTAAAAATCTTTCCATATAATTGAACATCACTTGATCTTAAGCTTTCCTCATCTCTCTATAGAAATACCTTCTTCATACAGTCCAGTAATATGCTTCCATTTTATCTTTTCAAGTACACAATTCTGGGGGAAACAAGACTAGCCTTTCCATTCTTTCTTTGCAAACAAAAGATTTAAATCACTTTAATTAATTAAGCTTTTAATCACTTTTAGCAAGGCTTTCTTTCATTCTTAATGTGAGTTTTCCTGAGGTGCAGCAACCATTGAAAAGGATTCAGATAATGCCAATCACAACTTGTAAGCTCTCCACATTATCTTCCATTCTTAGGCAACCCGAAACACACGTTTCTGACTGCAGCTGAACGGAGCACTTCACTGCCTTGTCTACAATGACACCATTTCTTGAATTGATCCAACTGTTCTACAACAGTGTAAGCTGTAGGAGTAGTGCCAACAAAACGCACTGGCTTGTTTTCTTTTAACTCCCACTAACATTTCATTTAATATTTCTTGCCTATTCATCCTTATAGAATCTTGAGAACAAACTGGGAATTGCACACAGTAAATGAGCAATACTGGGCAAAAATTTAATGTATTGATGACCTCCAAAACCAGAAAGGCATGAAGACTGACACAGACCCTGTAAGGTACAGCTTTTAGAGGCAGGCAGAGAAACATGTTTTACTTACCCAAGTAAGTGCTTTTGAACAAAATTACACATTTCTAGTGTAAGTTACTTACATGCTTTTGAAAACAACCTCAGCTACTTTAAAATGTTTTCTCAACTGTAGTTGAACAATATAATGATGTTACTTAAACCCTTTGTTTTTACTGTGTATTTATGAAATGAACAACCAAACGTGAGCAAGTGAGGATTTAACAGCATTTTAAAGGAAATAGTTTCTAATGACTACAACCCCCTAGAGAATTTCACCTAGTTAATGCAAACACACAGTGCCTCTTTTAGATAAAGAGTATTATAAGATCTTAGATGACTGCAGAACAGATACTACTAATATAGTTTGTGACCATCCTACCCTGCAATAGATTTACAACCACAAACTTTTTCCAATATTCTGACATATTTCCAGTAAAGTCTAGATTTATTCAATTCTGATTTATTACACTCAAAACCTAAAAGTTTTCCCTGGGAAAAAGGCAGCTTGATGGCTTCATTACTACAGGGGCTTCTTGAAGTAACACTAAGTCAAAAATGAAGACAGTTATATGACTTGAGAATATTTTTTATCACTCTGCTAACATGGTTTTTCTCAGCTTGCCTTACTGAGAAAGCAAGAAGAAATATCAATACAAGGTAACTTTGAAAAGACAGAGATCATTGTGCAATTAAATACTGTGATCTTGTCAACATCACTTCTGGCTCAATGCTTTCATGCAATTACCTACCCTCTTCTACTGTTGAATCCAGCTGCGTAACTTTGACAGCAAGACGATCAATTCTGTCTTGAAGGGAATTTGCTCTGATGTAGAAGCTGTTGGCTTCATTAAACAATTCACCAAATATATCTTCAGCATGTTTGCCTGTGGAAGAAAATAGACAGGGAAACCCCTTTGCTTGAAGGCTTACAAAACACAAGACAAATGGCTTCAATATCATGAAGTTATAATAAAACACAGTAGCTGTAGGATTATGACAGCACAGTTTGTCATCAGCAAAATTTTAGGCCGCAGATTTGTACAAAAATCTCAAAATATACCATTTTGAAGTCTGTTCTGGGCATGCTGCTTAGTCTTCCACATAAAAACAGGGACGCTTCAAATTTTAATCCTTCTGTAGCTGAACTACTGCCAAGTGACACATAACTGGTCATTAAAATCTGCCTCAGTGATGACAATAAAGGCCCAAAGTTACAGCTGTCCATGAAAGCTTCTGAAGTTAATTTTGAAATCTAAAAATCTTTCAATACATAGTGATTAAGATTTAATTATAAGTATGAGCACAAGCCAACATTAAAACAAAGGCAGAGCAAAACAGATAAAACCCAAAATCCTCATGCAAGGCAGCCCACTTACCTCTGCCAATGCTCACTGTATACACATTGCTGTCACTGGAGTCATTTGAGAGACTAAGATGGCATTAACCATATTTACCCATGGCCAGCCTGACTTGATATACCACAGAAGGGGAGCCTACAGCCTTTTCAGCCTCCCTTTCAGCTGCTGTATCATCTCAATCACTTTGAGAATGGATAGCCCAGATCTAAACTGCAGCGTCAGGCTCTGTCCTAAAAGGCTACAGTGGACAGGAGCGCTACATGACAAACCCAAACCCCTCTTGATCCACAGGATCCTTGTGCTTGCCTAATCCTTCCCAGATGTCCCACCTCCCAAGTTACTAGGCATGCTCATCAATAGTTCAACTCTTCTTCTGCCCCAGCCTGAACCTCTCAACCACTCTGGATCAGAATCCCCACTTTAACACTTCTCCTACCCCAGAACTTCTCCTACAAATTTTAGATTACAGGCAAATTCACTGCTCCTGCTCATTCAGCTGACAGCACCACACCTGCTTGAGTCTCAGTCCCTCCTACCCAGATACTTCATTTATAAGTATAAATGCTGCTTCATTTAAGATCTCCCCTTCCACAGTTTCTGCAGCCAACATCCCTTTCAAGACAACCACACTCCATTAATTCTTCATGCAAAAAGGAAAAGCCTGCCTCCTGCATTTAACCATGCTTTTTAAACAAAAATACATTTTGAAACCCCACTTCTGAATTAAATTCATCTTGTTATGACCTGTATCAAGATGAACCTGGGGAGATTACAGGAACATTGCCCAGGAAGCCAGGGAC